CAGTTCTAATGGGTACCTGACGTTTGTTGGGGTTGGAGGTCGGTTGTTGTGCTGGCCACATGACACCCTCGTTAACTGTAGGCCACAGAAATAGATGACCTTTACATCATCTGCCCTATGGACCACAAGGCCTGAAAGGGAAACTGTTAGAATACACTTTACAATTAGGATTAAAATAGTTTGCTATTATTTAATTTAAGAAAAAATAGTAAGTTAAAAATATTAACAGACATCTCTTGAGAGGCCTATTTAGTAAGAAAGAAATCCTACACAATGCCTCGCAGGCAGTCTTGCTAGATACAACCAACAGATAGTAATATTTGCAACTTTCTCAATGTAACATTTACAAACACTTGATTTTGAAGGTTGAAATCTGTACCATTGGTCGCTTCCAGTTGTTAGACTAAAAATGTATATTCTGGGGTGTCTATAGTGCATTGTCCTGCTACTCTTCTATATAAAAATAAAATGTAAGTCAAATATCAAATCTTCTATTCAGTGTACTTTATGAATGATGCCCAGTAGAAAATGGTAAAATGGTAACTATAATAGTTTTGCTTTAGTTTATTATTGGAGGGGGGAGGCTAACGACAAAACCCATTTTGGCTACGCTCAGGGAAATTAGTTAATGTTTCTTTTTTTCTTTTTATCGGAAAGCGGTTTTAACCTCAAAACTCCCCTTAGCTGCTCTCATGGAATGTATTTTTCCTTTAGTTTTTTTTTTTTTTTTTTTTTTAAATATTGGAGAGGTTTTAACCGCAGAAATCTTTCGGCTACGTTCATGCATTATTCCCAATCTTTAAAACTAATAAAAACTCTCTATCCTGTGAGGTATCTCCCATGAGCGCTGCTAGTCTTCTAGTACACAATGGTTGGTCAAAAAACAAATCTGCTTTTCCCTGCACTCTATTCATGGAGCCCAAGGTACAGGCGATAGAAAGTGATAACTATAGTTTTACTTTATTTGATTTTTTTTATGGGAAAGGAATTGGTAATCGCAAAACCCCTTTTAGATACGCTCTTGAAATTTAGTAATTGTAGCTTTGCTTTTCCTTTTGTTGGAAACCCCCACCTGGCTACGCCCATGATGGTCTGTGAGTTTGTCCTGGAATATAAAGCAATATTTAATAAGCCCTTTTGTCTATATACAAGTAAAACTTAAGAAAAAAAAAATTTTTTTTTTCCGTTCTGTATCAAATATCGTATGTCAGCCCTACTACAAAAATGGTGTAAAATCAGATCTAATTTTTTTTTTTAAATTTAAATAGGAAATGCAAATTGACATTATAGAGGATTAACCCAATTTCTTGGCTACAAAAGTTTCCCTTCAACTTGTCTAGCAGTAACTGAGATAAACATCTCGTGCTGTGTTTTACCCTAATCCTTATCTTCTATGCCACCGTACGAACAACATCTTTCATACACTGTCGTCTGCTGAATTTCAATGATTGCTCTGTGTTCTCCAAGTGAGACAGATAATCCTTATTGTCCGTGCTTGACTTGATTCTAGGCTCTACATGCGAGAACTAACAAAAAAAAGACTTTGAAAACAACATTTCATGCCTAAAACCTATTCTCCTATGTATCACTTGTTTTATCGTTCAACATTTTAATGGACACCCACAGAAGATAACTCTAACAATACAGAACAAACATTTTCCTACTTAAAAAGTCAAGTGTGGGCCACTGGCGGATCCAGGCGGGGGGGGGGGCGGTAGGGGCGATCCAAAGGGGAGGGGCGGACGAATTTTAGTATAGAAATCACACAATTGGTTAGTAATATATAATAATAATAATAATAAGGCTTGTCTTCGAGTCCGAAGATTAGTAAGGAATACAGTATGTCCCGTGGCTGCGCAGCCCCAGCTGTGACCTGCATATTTTGCCACATCCAGGGCAAGCATAACCATTGTCCGCAGGTGGTCGATTTAGTAATATATACTAGTTATTTATATTTCAACCTACTTCTAGTATGTTGGCCGATTTTGTGGGATGGGGTGGTGGCGGTGGCATCATTCCCGCCCTCCCCCCACCATAAAAATTCGAGGGTTGGTCCAATTTATTTGTAGAAATCACAGCTTGTTAACAGAATCAATTGAATATCTATATAATTAAAACTTGTTATTGATATTTTAACCGATCTTTATATTATCTCGTTCCCCTGTTAGCCGATTGGGTGGGGCGGAGGGGGGGGGGGGGCGATTGCGTCTACTGCACTCCCCACTCTGAGTGTGTGTGTGTCTGGGGGGGGGGGGTCCTATTTTATGGAAACCATAGTATGTGAACAAAATTAGTTGAATATCTATATAATATAAGCTACATATTGATGTTTTAATCCAATTGTATATTATGTCGCAAACACACTATAATCTAAAATTTTAACAATAGTAATTATAAAATGAAACAGGGTTGTACCAAGTGGTAGGGGCGATAAATGCAATCGCCTTCCGCCCAAAGGACAAACCAATACATTTTTCTTTTTGTATTTTAGTTAAGAAATTACAAAATTGTAAAAAAACTAGTTACTAATATAATTTATATATGCTATAAATTAAATTCTTATGTCGAGTCGCCCCACCCCCTATTCTATAATGCCAAATGCAATCATTAGCAGAAATTATAAAAAAGTAGCGAGAATTAACGTTTTCACTCTACTACCCTCTCCCCTTTCCAGACGAAAACATGACGTCTTAAAACAGAATTGTGAAATATGGCGACAGAGTTGATGTAATTGCACACGAATTTATCTTATTCATTTTAAGAAAGACTTTGTTTTGGAAAACTTTAGAATTCATAAGAAATTTTTCATTATAAGAGTAACAATTTAGATGAGTTCTGAACCCAAATATTATTTTACTAATCACCTTTTTCCAACCTTTACTCATACTGATATTTTTCTATTGTATACAAATGTTTTGGACTATAACTGACAATATATACTTGGATCCTAAAAATGCAAAAAAATTAAGAGTAGAATTTGATTGGTCCACTTCATTTCTCCTCCCACTTACGAAATGTTTTACTTTAGACCTTTAAACTCTAGTTGTGTAACAAAATAAAGTTAGATACTTGCCCCCTAGTAAAACAAAAAGAAAAAGATTTCTCAACAAATAGTATTTTTCGATTTTTTTTTCCTGCGGTGATCCTCAAAGTCTTAAATCTAAATCTGTGGGGTATCTTTTCAAGGAACAAATCGGTTGTATTTGCATTGGGCGTTTATATTCATATTAGAATATTTTTCAAGTAAAACTTTATTCAAAAGGTCCTTTTTAATACGAGAAATAATGAGCTGTAGAGGTCAGGAGAATGCATTTCTGCAGTGAAGAATGCAAGAAAACGCTCCCACAGACCAGCTAGCTGTCAAGACTTCAACATGGCTGGCTTTTTTTTTTTTCGCCGAAGGTTGAGAAACACTGCTTTATTTTTCCATTCTAATATGTATGCTGTACGCGCTTTTATGCTTAGGGTTAGGGTTTACTGGGCGTTAGGGTTAGGGTTTGGAAAAAATCGCCCCTCCCCCCACTCCAAAGTTCTTTATCCGCAAGTGGTGTAGGCATATGTTACTCCGTACAAACTTAAAAGCATGTGAGATTGAAAGGGTGTAGGATTATATTCCGCCTACGGAAATCTTCTATGCTTAGTCCATTCTCGTCACATCGAAGTTTTGTTTTGTCATGTTCCAACCAACAGAAAATGAATACCTTCGTCCATCAAGTACTATTATATATTTGTTGCTTCAATGCGGTTTAAAATACAGGCAAAAAAAAAAAAGATGAAGTTTACTCTTGCGACCTAATTGCCTTTAGGGCAGATGTTATGGTTTTGTGGCAAAATGTGACATCATGTAGCCATCACAGCCACCATCAGCTATTGCATTACCCTACAAATAACAGGCACACATTTGAGCTATGAATTAAATGATAATTTCATCACCAAATGTCAGAAACACCATAATGTCAGTTGCATCAACAAATGTCAGGTACACCATAATGTCAGGTACGCCAACAAATGTCAGGTACAACAACAAAGGTCAGGTACAGAAGGAAATGTCAGGTACACCATAATGTCAGATACACCAACACATGTCAGGTTCACCGTAACGTCAGGCACAATAACAAATGTCAGTTAAACCTACACATTTCAGGTACAACAACAAATGTTAAGTACAATAACTATCAATTATAACATCTGTCAGGTACAGCAACAAATGTCAGGTTAACATTAATGTCAGATTCACCATAATGCCAGTTACCCCACCAAGAAATATTATCGTCACTCTTCTTGTCCTGTTTTATTTGTTGTCCTGTGTTACGACAGACAGCGCACCTGTCCTGTAAGGCATGTTTTGGTGTGTCCTTCTAGATGTTTGAACGTTATTAAGTTTTTCTTCGTGGAACTCTTTAGGTTCAAGTTCTATGCCCACTAGTTTCCAGAAGTTTACAAATGGTCTCTGGTGTGATGAGGAAAGGTGACTTCAAATCTATTCTTCTTGCAGTGTTTTTACCTCAGAATTTTGTTTGCATCACTAAATAGTTCGTTTGATAAGGTGTGTGTCTTTTGAGTGTGTTGGGGGATGGGGGGGGGGGGGGTGGAAATTAACCCATTCCTGCCCTTGGTACATTAGATGAAATTAACAATGTCTCTTTTTTTTTATAAAAAATTTAGACATATGTCAAGTTAGCTTGTTAGCGCCCTTGCCAATAATCTAAGAAATGTAATCTAATAAATGCTAAGAGAATTACAATCATCATTATAAATAAATTAGTATACTGTGATGGTACTGTTTAGATCACTAAATGCTAACACAAGCTTATAATTTATCAATGACAACAGAGCTGACTCTTACTGACTGATGTAGAGCTATGAAAACTAAAGATAGTTTGACTCTTATTTACTCTGAGGAATGTCAGATTGATTCAATGTTGAAATAATTCAATGGAAATACACTACTGATTTGTACTAACTTACATTTTTAATTAAGTCAATAAGAAACAAAACAATTTGAAATAATGAACTATTTTATTGTAATCATAAAGAATAAAGTGAAAAGAGTTTGCATTCTGTTGTAAATATGTCAACAACAGTTAAGGAAAGGGGAGACTATAACAAAATAATTGGAAAAGCTATTTACATCCCAAGGAATGAACATATTCGGTATGTCAGTAACAGTCCAATGCTCACATTAATAAGCTTGTATTTCCAATCAGAATTTTTTTTAAAAATACACATTTTATATTCTGCTAATGTGTATAGGAATAGTGGAAACCTCATTTATCACCACATTAAAATTTTGAAAATTTATTTCTGATGAATCTTTGGCAAGAGCCGCATACATAACTCAAAGGCTTATGAAAGATGCTAAATGTGAATAGAATTAGGAACAGTCACTGACAGAATTTAAATCTTTGGTCATTTAAACAAGGCACTATATACACATAACTTGTCCAGACCAGCAAAACAATGAAACAAAGGCACATTTCTTTTTCGTTCATAGTTTAAAAAAAAACAAAAAACAATAAAAGGGAGGTAACGGCTATGAATAACTATCACGTTGTTGAGGGGAAATGTTTTTAAAAAGTCAATGTCTCCATATTGTTCTTCCTATATTATTTCCCTTTTCATGTTACATATTTCTTTCTAAGAAACATTGAAAGTCAAAACCATTATTACTCCAAAACACTTTTGAGATTCATAAAAAAACAAAATTCAACTTGTACATCTGACAGTTGTATCCCTTGCTGTGTTAGAAGGCTGCCTCTGTCCTAAGAATTCAAAACATAACACCTTGGCTGTAAAACAAAAAAAGTCAATTGAGTAACTAAACGTTGTCAGTAAATTGTAGAGACAGAACAGACTTCTGCCTAAAGTCTTACTATGTCTCTTAGTGATTCTATAATGAACTCAAAATTGATTGGTCAATGCATGGAGATGGAATTGAAAACTCAATAGGTACAGTTTCTATAGAAAGTAACATTTGAAATACACCTAGTTGTCCTTTGAGGTTTCTGACCTAAGAATGAAACGGTGTTAATGTTTCTTTTTCTACACTTGATACTCTTCTCTGAGCAATGCTCCCCACCTCTACAGATATGGATACTATTACTATGGATACTAGGTTCTTTGTTTATAAAATATTTCTTAGTAAGGTGATGGCATCATCATAAGATAAAAATCTCCAAGTGCAAAAATTAGTTTTTAAAATATACTATAGGCTAGTATAGGCCTACCATTTGCATCACTTGGAGTAGTGCCAAGATCTAAAATTCTTTTTTGTTATTTGAAGAAAAAATAAGCCATCATATTGTCTCACGAGTCCAAGGCACACATAAAAGCACTTTTCACACTGTATTCTTTTGTTCTAGTTAGAAGACCTATTTTTGATACCATTTATTTCTATTGTTGCGGCGTGACAAAGCTTGAAAAACTAAAAACAAACATTTGGTTACTTGAAATGGAAGACTTTTAGTTATTTCTTTGCTCAGAAGATTTATTTAAACACCCAACAAGTCTTTCACGCATTAGTTTTTATCTTAAAAAAAAAAGATTAAAGTAAAAGGTTTACATTTGAAATGTATTTATATTAAGATTATAATAGCATGCTTCAATATTTTTGTAACAGAAATTGACTGTAAGGCTTCTGAAGGTCAATTAAAATGCTGTATTGAAATTTTTGTTTCTAATAAGAAAGAAAAATTTTTAAAATCTGGGCAACAAGAAACAAGTTTGGGGATATCCAATAAATTGTTAAGTACATATGGACATGTTTGTGAAATATAAATAAAGCAATCGTTGAAAACACTTTGTATTCTATGATTATAGTCTTAACAGCAAAATGTGGAAGTGATTTAGAAAAAAAGTCACCACAAGGTTGCTAGACTACAAACAACAATATGGCAAATCTGTGGTTTAATCACACAGTTGAAAATGCTGCTACAACTGGCCACAAAGTGGTGTGTTCAAATAGTTTGGCTTCTCCACAGTTCAGTTCAATATTGTCCTGCATATTTAGTAAAATCAGTGTTGAAAGTGTTTACCACTTAGAAATGGAAGACATTAACATTCAAATAAATGAACTATATATAATCTTAGATAATTTTACATAGTAATAAAAAATATTTAAAAATAGCAAAGGTTAAAAGTTATTGCATTCGGAATTATTTTCAAATAAAATGTAAAAAAAAAAAAAAAAAAAAAGTTAAAACATGCATTTATTTGTGATATACTAATGAATGATGTTACTAATGAATGATGAGTCAGAATAGAAGCACATCTTTCTACTCACTAGGAGACTATAGGGCAAAAAAACATTTATGGTTTTTGTGTTAAAGTGTTGACTAGGGCTGAGTGCTATATCATTAGTTGGAACCAGTTTGAAACTAAGAAAGTCTCAGTAACAGAGAAGTTCTGCTAGTGAGCTGAATAGCTGACTAAATAGCAAGATTAGGGTTAGCACAAACAAGTTGCTGCTGCTGAGAATACAAAATCATGGTTTCTATTTAAACATAGAAAAATTAACATTAGCAATAAACAAACACATTATAGCAGCATTGCAGATAGAAACAATTTTAGATTGAAATGTAAAGATGCCTCAAAAGGGATGCTCTGACAAGATGTCTTGAATTCAATATTTTGTTCTAAAGAAGAAGTGAACATTGAGTTGATCAAAAGTCCTCAACTCATACACATAAACACTGACGTTCAAAATTGGTCAATATGAAAAGAGCTTCAACAGCCGACCAATTTTCACTGAAAAAAGGGAGATCATTTTTAATTATTCATCAGTTGTACATTTCTCAATTTCATCTTTTCAATTTTGGATATTGACTAAATCAAGAAGCAGAGAAACACCAATTTTTATTTTCAAATATTTGTATTCAAATAGTTTTAGTATCACTGAAATTAGAAAAGAAAAATTATTTTCATAACATTACAACTCTTATTAGACTCTAAAAGCATACAAAGACTATAGATGATTTCTGTTTGCTTAAGTCAAGAAATTGCAACTAGCCATACTCTCAGTAATAATAAAACTGTAATGTCTAAATGTTCAGCCTATTTTCCATTTAGACAAATTCAATAAAAGTTTACTAAGTTAATTGAGCACAAATCTATAATTATAATTCCAGTTCACAGTTTAATTGAATTAAAAGTTGTTTTATGTCATGTCCTTTGGGAGTTGTCCTCATGATCATGCCACAGGGTTTAACAACAACACAAAGAGTGTAGTCTCTGCTCTTAAGCTATCAAGAAACATTTAATTGAAAAACATTTTTAATACAGAATTTTTTATAAAAAAAAGTGATAATGTAACATTGGTTAAACAAACATTAAGAGACAATTGTTGCAGTACATGTGTTATAATATTATGCTTATGATATATATATAAATTATCATCACATTAATACATCTTTTTAAAAAAAAGCAACAAAAAATCTCTTGTTTGATTAGCAGTACAATGTAGTTTGAAAGTTCATTAGCAGTACAATGTAGTTTGGAAGTTCATTAGCAGTACAATGTAGTTCGGAAGTTAAGAGCCATAGATTTTAAATATATATATGCCAAAAAACAAAAACATTTCCATATCAATATAGGATTTGCTGAAGTTGTCTTTGTTCTTATATTGTTTTATACTAGTTTCAAACAATAACAAAACTGTAATTGGTATATGAACAATATAAAAAAAAAATTTTCAAGTAACAGATGAACATTAAAAACAAAAACTTGTCTACATTATGGTGCATATAATTTTCATTATGGACATTACTATTTATATATATAAATATATGTTCCAAACATGTATATTGGACAAATAATAACTGTTTATTAAAGCAGATTTTTTAAATAAAAAATAAAATTAAGATTGTGAACTTCATATTTTTTTACACTAATCTTTACACAAAAGAGATTTAATAATCTTTAAGTACAATTGCCCCATGGACTATAGCTGATTAAATTTGTCTGCGTGGTCAATGAATTCTAAATTTTATGATCAATCAACTTTAATTCCCAGAACTGTCATAGTTTAACAAGAAACTAATGAAACTTAGTCCTTAATAAGGTGAAAAAATCCAGATACGAACTAGGAATTTAACCACTTAGCCATTGAATCCAAATATTCAATCTAAACCCAAGAATTTCACCCACTTAGAAGAGGCCAGATTTTTCTTAAATGAGAGAATTATTCCAAGATTACACAAGCCGAAAGAACAAACAAATCTTTCCTACAAAAACAGTTTGATTGGATGACTGATGTGGCTGTGGTGAAAGTCTATATTATATTGATATCAAAACTATTTTGCATTAAGACAGAATAAAAGGTACAAATATATTTATATATATATATATATAATTTATTATGCGCTTTAGTAAAATTATTTACCAGCATAATCATCTTTTTGAGTGCTAGGGTTCAGTTAATTAATCAGCTAGTAGAGTGTCCAGATATCTATAGTTATACAAACAGTGCTAAAAGGTAAAAAAATATATATATATATATATCACTTATTCACAGAAGAATTTAAACAATAGATTCAACTCTTTCAAGTTGGAGACAAAAATGTTGGGTGTAAATTAATTTAATTTGTAAATATTATGGCGCTAATATTTACTTTATACCAACTGGAATAAAAATGTGAACATAGAGAAGGAAAAATAAAATGTAACAAAAAATGTCTACATATATGCATTGTAAACATCTTGATATTCATTTTGTTTCTTCCAGAAGTTTCTATATCTGTGTAGGCAGAGCACCAAAGTTGGATTATGTACAGTTAAGCATAACAAGGGAAAGCATTCCCAAAGAGTTCTAAAAGACAAACAGGTGGGGGTACTAAACGAAGCAAATATTTTCTATGTGATTTGTTGCACAAGGTATGAGCCTTTTAGAGAATAAATCCAACAATCTTTAAGGTAGAGCACTCCCAATAATTTCTTGTCTTTTCTTGTGTTGTGAATGGAGGTAGCAAGGCAGATAACACATTTCTGTTCAAGGCAACTGTGTTGGTATGTAGTCTCCCCTTGCATTTAATCTTTCCAATTTAACCTTCAGCTCCCTAAAAGTTGGTCTATCAATAGGAGACTGAAAACATACAGTTATAAATATAGGGATATTCTGATATGACCTAGATGCATATTATTAGATAAAATCAACACTATTAGTTCAAACTTGATAAAATTTGGCACAAAAAGTGAATAATCCTTAGATCTAGGTGAAAAATCTATTTTAGAAATCTACACCCCCATTCTGGGTGCCCTGAATTTCCCATTTTTGAAATATAATGCACAAATAATAATAATAACATTTAGGAACGTGGAGAGTTACGCAAAATTTCACAGCACCCCTTACAATGAAAGTCAAGGGACAGATGAAATGAGTTCCCACAGTAATTTTTAGTTTTCCTGTTCTCAAAGTAATATTTAGTACCGGTAGTGTTCTCAAAGTAATATTTAGTAATGTTCTCAAAGTAATATTTAATAATCCTTTTCTCAAAGTAATATTTAATAATCCTGTTCTCAAAGTAATATTTAGTAATCGTTCTCAAAGTAATATTTAGTACCGGTAGTGTTCTCAAAGTAATATTTAGTAATGTTCTCAAAGTAATATTTAGTAATGTTCTCAAAGTAATATTTAATAATCCTGTTCTCAAAGTAATATTTAGTAATATTTAGTAATCATGTTTTCAGTAATATTTAGTAATCCTATTCTCAAAGTAATATTTAATAATTCTGTTCTTAAGGTAATATTTAGTAATCCTGTTCTCAAAGTAATATTTAGTAATCCTGTTCTCAAAGTAATATTTAGTAATCCTGTTCTCAAAGTAATATTTAGTAATGAGTCTGGGTAAAAGAAAGTGTTTTTTTACTAAATGTATCTTTTCTTAATTAAATCTTATGCCTACAACAAATGGAACATTTAAAAGTACAATGAATTGTTTATCTTGTTTTCCCCATTAGAATTATTTTGGGCATCACAGAGTGTTTCTGCCAGTACAATATAATTGATAAAACTGCAATCACCTCTGTACTATCTCTACTTTTGACTTTTCACAATGGCAGCATTGAGGTGAACAACAAGAAAATAATGTCATATTTTTATAGGCCAAATTTCTTTGAGCTGTGTCTCATTTTGATCTAAAACAAATATTGCCTTCATTATGCTAGAAATAAATTTACTAGCTATTTTTGATTTTCCCTTTTTTTTAAAAAAATAATATAATCACAGCACATCATGGGCGTAGCCAGGATTTTTTTTTCGGGGGTGGGGTTGGGGGGGGGGGGGATTTTTCCCCCCAAGAAAAAAATTATGTATATATATATATATATATATATATATATATATATATATATATATATATATATATATATATATATATATATATATACATGTTTGTATGTATGTGTGTGTGTATGTACATAATTAATCACTATTACATTCTGACCCTTTATTCTTTTGGAAGACGTTAATTGTGCCCAAGAATAGGTTCTTCCTGGAGTAAGTGAAAAAATTACAGACCCCTCGCCCTTACCAGCAAGGGGTCTGGGGGAGTGCTGAGAGCTCCCCCAGCTTCGCCCCGCCGCAAGCACTATTTCTGGTACTGAAAGCCAACTAATTATTTTGCTATTTAAAAGTTTTATTTCAAAAACCTAATGTGCTATTCTTACTGACTTACACCCTCCCGCGCCGTTCGGCACATTCGCTGGCAAGCTGTTTCCACAAAAACCTGTCACTGGCAATGTCTGAAGCCTCTTCCCACCTGCTCTGAGGACCTTCATGAAAGTGTGGCGCCAAGTTGTACTAGGATGTCATAGCAACTCTTATTGTATGCAATTCATTTTGTCGGAGAACATGTCCAGCAAACCTCATGCGACGCTGTCTTACTAAGGGGTCGACTCCCATTTCAGCATAGGATTTCCTTGATGTAGACTCGATCTCTATAACTGACTCCTAAAATCCGTCTTAGCCATCTTTGTAGAGCCACATTCAGTGCTTTTCAATTTCATTGCACTTTATTAATGGAGCCCAGCCACTGGTAGACGTGTAACTTCTCTTGATTACGATTTTAAAATTAGGTGACTATTTTACTTTAGCTGTTATATCGAAAAGGGAAGCTTTATCGTCAAAATCATCTTTTGGGGGTTTTTAAACTAAACTATATCTGGAGTTGTTTTTTAAAATTCAAAACCACATTTAGCTAC